AAAATAGTGATTTATGGAGAATGTGTTATTAAAAAAGAAAGAAAAATTTTCGATTTATATGTAAAATTATTTTATGAGAAAATGTATGATTGAAAATAAATTTTGAAAAAACGAGGGTCAAACATAGGCTAATTGAAAGCACACAAATATCTTCACAAGATTCTAATATCTGTCCACTCGTAAGTATGAGTTGAGAAATGATGTCTACATTTTGGTGTTCTTTCAACACATTTTCGATACATGGGTGCTCCAACTTTTAAGAAATGAGAATATGTTGATATTATAATTACAATTGTCAAAAAAATATTTTGGTATCTTTTAATATTTTAATTAAAAAGATATGATGTATATGTAAATGTTATGCCCTAGGTCCAATCAACTTTGGACATAAACACTTTGAATATATATAATCAATGCATATATATGACAATATCTATTATTTAATTAAATTAATATTCTAATAAATTAAATAATAGAATCCCTAGATTCAAATCTTGGTGATTTGTTAATCACAAGGAGTTGTGATTGTGAGATACAAATTACATATGACTGAATCTTAAATCGTCCGTGGTCGAGGTAATAACGAGATACGGATATCGTTATTACGGATAGACTATCGCGTGTGGCATTCTTACTTGTGAAGTAAGTAGCTGATCTCACAAGCTAAAGTGTGGTGACACTTGAATGAACACGTGGATGTTTTGTTATAGAACAAAACATTGGAGACCCGCTGAGAGATTCCACATGGATAACTATCTAAGTGTTAGTGGTTAATCTCTAACGTTCGGTAGTGGAATTGGTCCTTTGACTTGAGGTCATCATAGTACCTTATATGAGGGCAGACATACTTTGGTGGTGTTGGATGTTGCTCTGTCAAGGGTCGCTAATACAGCATCGTTCGGGTATGTCAAGAATCATATGAAGGTTGTGAATGATCAATAGAGGATTCGTCACTCTTAGATAGTAAGAGATTATGATCTACATTTTATCCAGTTAAGTTAATAATGAAATCCTTGGCCAAGGTGAACTCATAAGTCGGAAAAGAGTTTTCGACGTACATTGACTTAACAGTGGGATAAAAGATATGATCGATAATTGAGATTGACACATATCCATATCTCATAATTGATCGGATCATATTGACGAAAGGATTATAGTTTCACGGTAAACGAACAAGTTTGGTTTTGTCATGCTACGTGATATTTCCCGTCACATGTATTGCCCTGATACATTGCTAGATGTCAATCTGGGACAACGAAAATGAATTAGTGATAAATTAAAAGGGGCGTTTTAATTTATCGATTTTGATTAGATCAAAATAATAATTCACGTCGTTCGGCATCGTGATCGGGAACCTAATGGGTCACACACAAAAGAGAATCAGAAGAATGAGATTTACCAATTAATTAATTGACAAGTGTTGGATAATTAATTAATTGGGTTGTTTATTAATAGGCCCGAATTAATTAATTGGATTAATTAATTCATGGACCAGATTTAATTAATTTGATTAATTAAATATTGGACCGGGTTAAGTTTAATAGATGGGCCGAGCCCATCTGGACTTATATTAATAAGCTGTTAGGGTTTGAAAAACAGTAGAGAATTTCATTATTCTTGCTAGCACAAGAAAAGAAAACCCTAGCCGTCATTCTTATTCTCTGTGTGGATCACCATTGGAGGCTGGACAATTGGACAGCTTGGATTGCAGATCGTGATCATTGGAGTTCAAGAAAAAGCAAAAGAGTTTGTGGAATTCATCAAAGGTATCATTCTCATCACAGTTTCTATCTAAACACATTGCAGATCCTCGTTTGGGAATTGAAAATTGTTTTATTTCCGCTGTGCATGTTAAGTAAATTCCCAACAGTATCGACGTGTCAAAAATATATTGCGAACACAATGAGTTCGAGACAACAAATCTAGGTTTCTAATAAACATGTATAAATAAATGTATACTGAAATTTCAAATTAAATTAAACGCATTAACCTGACTCCACAATTATTAACTAAACAAGATGGTAGGTCATCAAGAATATAAATTAAAGAAAGGTATAATTGTAGCAAAAGTCTCAAACATTTGAAACATTAGCACACTTTCCTCAAACTTTTGATTTGTTGCAGTCATCACCCATAACATTTCCAAACGTTACAGCTGAAGCCCTTTTAGACAGTTTCCATCCATAATTCTGCTAATTAACCAAAAATTTGACTTTAACCACATTTTAAATATTTTAAAAGGAGCAAAAGAGTAATTTTTCATTTATAACATTAAATAATTAAATAAACAAAACACACACATACATACACACAAACAAAATCGTCACCTTCCTCTCAACTCTCCCTACCCCCACCTAAACCCAAAATCCTCACCGATTCATGCACAATATATGTACTTTTAGCAAGGTGAGGTAAATAAATTCAAAACATAAACACGTAAATATGGGGGACACAGATGGCATTTAAGGATTGAGTTCCGCCTCAATCAAAACACCCCGGGTTTTGTCCTGTAGAGAGTTAATTGTGTGTATTCGTATAACCCAATTATTCATTACAATTAGAAATTCATATATGGGTTGAGTTCAATTTCAGGTGTATTGCCTTTCGCCTTTGCAAAATCCCATATGGGTTTTTGCTTTCCTTGGTCAGTTTCCTTTTCCCTACTTGTTTAGCGTGAAGGTTTTCCTGAAATTTCTTTCTAGATATTCCTCAATGTCCCGGCTATTCACGGAACGTGTCAACTTTTTTTCCAGAATTTTCAGCTTTTTGTTTCTACATTTTTTCTATGTAGTATCTATTTGATGAGAAGTACTGGAATCCTCTGTAAAATCGTGAATTAGAGGAATTGTAAACGTGTTTTGATTGGAAAAAAGATTTGAGTTCTGGTTTTTATGTTTGTTTTTTCTGGTATAAATTCATGGTTTTAATAGAAAAATAAATAAATAAATTGATATTTGAACGTTTAAGAGGAAGGATTTTGGGTTTGAGGTGAGGTGAGGTGGGGTGGGGTGGGTGAGAGGAAGATGACGATTTTGTGTGTGTGTGTGTGTATTTTTTTAATTTAATTATTAATGTTATAAATGGAAAATTACTCTTTTGCCTCTTTCAAAATATTAAAAATGTGGTCAAAATCAAATTTTTGATCAATTGACAGAATTATAAATGGAAACTGTCCAAAAGGGCTTCACCTGCAATGTTTGGAAAGGTTAGGGGCGGCTGCAACAAATCAAATGTTTCAAATGTTCGGAGTTTTTGCTGCAATTATCCCTTAAAAAAATCTAGAAAGGAAAAAAGAACAATGTCCTGAAATAAACTAAACTCTTAACACGTGTTCAAATCCAAGTGGCTTGTATTCACATTGGGAAAACATACCAGAGACTTATAAGAATAATGTCTAGAATCATTGGGAAAACACACCACAAATTTATAAGAATATTGTCTAGAATTGTTGCTGTGTCATTGCCACATCGATCTATAATGAATAATACTTATTGGTATTTATATATCAGTCTAAGACATTAAATATTATTAAATGAAATGTATAACGAATTACATAATTTCACATTTATTAAACATATTAAATAATGTCATGTAGATCAATATTTTAATACCACTGGTACTAAATAACATTATTTCTTTATAATTGTTGGAATCTCTCCACTTGGTGGCTCAACTACATTCCAAAACCCTAACATTTTGTCCTCCAATGATTTTTGTGCTTTTTGCATTCTTTAATAGTCAAAAACAACTTGTAATATTCTTTCACTTTCATCACCCAACTTTATTTTGTTACAAACTAACCACACAACTTTTACTTATGCATCAAAATGATCACCTAACATCCATAATATTATTTAAAAATCGTGGCTTTTTCCCATAGTAATAATGGAAAATAAAAAATATATCACCAATACTTTTGCATCAAATTGATCACCTATTTTAGTTACACATTTGATAATACATAATATGTCAAACAATGAACTTAAATATTCTCAGTCAAACAAGTTAATCCCAAAATGAAACTCAGCCCCATGCCTAGTAGTCCAGCTTATTTAATTCTTTAAAAAAGAAGTATAAAAGTTCATAATGATTTTTAGGATGGTTTGGATCAACCAACATGATCTTAGTTATCCTTCAATTTAACGATCTTGTATGTGATCCACATTTATCATTTTTAAATATTAGGAGTTCAACAACCTTGTAGCAATCCAATAATGTTAGAATTTACGACAGAGCTACAATATGATCATATGGCATTAAAATCCATCAACTAATTAATGTTTTTGTTGTATCAACAAGTCAGACATGCCAAGTCATCACTTCAAAATATTTCTCATTAGACAAAAAATAATATATATATTTTTAAAATTCATGCCCCATCATCGACCATCTTTTGATGTAGGGAGTTCGTCTTCACCGGACCCAAACTTCTCCTCTTGCACTCGGTCAAGCTACTATTTGTCACCCCTTCTTTATTAGTCGATCTTTATTGGAGCTTTTTTGTAGTAGTCGTGATTCATTGTTTTCAGCTTTCCATTCATTGGTAAAGTGAGAGTTTCAAGCCAGATTTCTAGTGACGCGTCCACCACACAAGTGCCACCGTGAATTACACCATCAATTCCACTAACGCGGTTGAATAAAGCAGACGTAGTGCCTTAATTTGAAACAAAAATGAAAATCGATCATTAGTTTAGAACAAAACAAAGTTTGATTCCTAAAATGAAGCAGCCATATACGTTCGGCGACTATCAATATTTTTGACTTATTCCCTTTAGTGCCCCACTCCTTCCACCGATCCACACTTTCCACAATTATATATTCCATTCCTTAACCTCCCCTAAACCCCTCATCTTCCAGTTGAAAAATTCTCCTTTTATCACAATTCCTCAACGCACCATCCCAAAGAATTCAACACAAACAAAAGCATAGTCCAAATTTAGCCATATATTTGAAGAGACTTCGCTGAAATATTTATGAACATGGAAATCCCAGAGATGAAAATGATAAGTGATTTTGAATGTATGCAGAACCCAACTTTGATTTCACGTTTCTTTTCACTTTCAGGCATTGAAAATGTACCTCAAGTTGTCAGTTTTTGGAAATGGGGTGCTGTAATTCTTCTACTTTTTGCAACTCTTAGAAGCTTAATCAAGGGAATCAAGCTCATTTTTATTCATTTCTATTCACTAATCAAGCGTTCTCCACACCTTTCTATTGGCACTGGAGATTTTGAGTTTAGTGAAAGCGATGATTGTTCCTCGATTTCTTCAGCAGAAGAAGAGGAGGAAGATATTCAAACAACTTCGTTTTCAGATCAACGGAAAATTAATGAAGAATTTTGTGTAAAGGGGTGGCAAAATGGTAATTTGAGGCACCGTAGGCGGTGGAGCAGCGGCGGTGAAAGGTTTGCGTGGTCGGAATTTACTTCCGGCAAAAATGTTGTAAAACTTTGGGATAGTTTAGGTTTAGGCTTGAATTTTGTCGAAGATAATGACAATATTAACTCTAAAAGCATCGTTTCTATATGGAATTTTGATAATGAAGAGAAAAATGGAAATAATTTTGGCCGGAGTCGGAAAATCCCGGCACTGGCGATGGCATCTCCGGCTGTGGTTTTGACGGCAGAGGGGAACGGAAAGAGGGACTCCGTCGTTTTGGGTGCCTATGACACGAGAATGCCACGAGAGACTCCGGCTATATATGCCGAATGGGGCCCAACAACCGCTGCGGCTACTGTCTCCGACGGCGGAGTTGAAATGGTTTATCTAAAAAACGGCGTTAGTGGTGCGTTAACGGTTGGTGACCTGAGGAAATTGAAGACTCCTATTGAGAAAGTGAAGGAATCTGACGGCGAAACGTGGTGGGACGCAGACGACGTTACCGTGGAGGACGAGTTTGAGCTGGTTGACTAGTCAAGCTGAATTGGGTTCGAGTCTGTTGTCTGTAAATATTAGATAATTGATTTTTTTTTTTTTTGGATAATTTGTGAAGTGTGAGATCAAAAATAAGTTTAGTTTGTAGTATCAAATCTTTGAGAGAAATTTGAACAATTAATCTACTCTTGGATAGCATTATGTAAAAGTAAAACAAAAGGAGAATAATATGTAGAAGGAATAATATTTTAGATTATGAGAAATATAAATTTCTAAAGATATATGAATAAGTTGATTAAATTTGTAAAAAGTTACAAGTATTTTTGGTGCAGTTATTATAAATTGGATAAAGATTAATTAAATTTTATCCTATTTTGGCTCTATTAATACTCGGATTAATTCGGAATGCTTATTCAACCTAACTTTGAAACTATCTTTGATACTATTTATTTAGTGAAAAGCGCTAAAAAACACGAAGAACACAACTGAAAAGAAAAAAAAAAAAGTATTTGATTAAACAAATTCACCCGTGTACATAAGAGAGAGAACCGACTTTGTAAAATAACAAAACTTTATTTACTCTCATTTTCTCACCTAAAATACTCGACAAACCACATTTTATTCACACAAATTAATAATACTAATTTTTAATCAACTTTCGTATGATTCAAGTTTTATTTATAATAATAATAATCTTGTTGTGTTATCTAAGTTTCTAACAATCAAGCAGTGCCTACTCATTAATTTCGTTACCACAAATGCAGTTCAACAATATTTTTATTACTAAAAATATAGTACATTGTAATAATACTATATATATATATTACGCTAAGTGTACATTCCATAAATTACATCTTGCCTATATTGTGTGGAAATTCAAAAAGCGTTGGGCGGAAAAGTGTAAAAAAAGAAAATTATCCAATCTTATATCGACACATGAAACAATGCAAAAAAGATATAAAATAAGGTGTACATGTAGTATAATTGAAAAAAATAATAATAATTAATGAATTCAGTCGATTTAAATAATTAGCCTGATTAAGTTTATTAAATTAAAGTTTACTTAGGTCCATAAAATTCAAATGCCCATCCTACTTCTTCAAAATTCATAATGATAAAGTTATTCTTTTTAATTAAAGATAATTAGGTGATTACCAAATTGGTTACGAATTTTCTTATAAATACGAGCAAATGTTCATAAAATTTCGTAAGTGGAGAACTACAGGAGAAAATCACAAGTGTAGAAGAAATTTCAAAGCCCGTGGAAGAGAAGACACTCTTTCAAGTCTAAGTTCGAAATACCAAGAATATCAAAATCTTCTTCAAATTCAAGCAAATCCAAGAAAAGTCCAGAAGATCAAAGTTTTTTTTTTTTTTTAATTAAATCAAATTGAAGTCTAAATTTCGAAGTACAAATTCAAGCCTCGAATTTGAAGTGTCAAATAAGCTAAGTTCTCAACAAATCAAGTTTTCAACAAATCTTGAATACCTGGATTAGTGATGGCAATGGGCCGAGCCGAGCCGAGCCGGCTTGGCTCGTTGCCCCACGAGCTCGGCTCGTTGCCCTACGAGCCGAGCTCGTGGCT